TGAAACAATGGATAGTGATGAAGAGCGCACAGAACAATCAAAGCAGAAGTCTGCACAATGGTGGGTTTCACCCAATTCATCTCCTCCCATCATTATGGTCTATGATAGGCCTAAGAACTGTGATTTTTTTTGCGATTTATGACTTCTAAAGTTTGAGGAAGGATAAAGCTTATATGAGGTTCACACCTTAAAGTCGTATGAAAATTCTATTATGACGTTGGAAAACAATCTATTTGATTGTTTCGATAGTACATCTTACAACACATTACTTCGTCCGTCTATACTCGATATTTTTATGTATTTATAATCTGTTTATTTTGAACTGTTTTTGGAGTTTAAAATTTTATAATTAAATATAATATATATATATATATATAAAATGAGACCGTTTATCTTTGGTATAAGGTAAATCATAATTAATCTGAACAATTAGATGTAAAGTTAGATAGTTATATTTATTCTATTAACTAAATTTAATCTTAAAAAAAATAAAATTTAAATTTTATGACATACCCAAGTTATCATATTTTACATGAGATGGTTGTACGTAATATAATCCTTGAGCTATTTAAAAACAAAAACAAATTATACTGAAAATTGCATCTTATGGCAAAATTTAGAAGTGCACATTATTTTAATTATTTAATATTACAACGTTATCCAAAACACACCTTTATGGAAAAAAAAAAAATGGCTTCCTATCTTTTGACTAGCATATAATAACAATTCTTCGAATTCTGGTCACAAGCGAAACACATGGCTTCAACTCTGCCACATTTTACTGGTCGGATCCAATGATTTTCTTCCCTCGAAAAACTAAATGTGGTACTACGTTGTCCCCAGAATCATCCACATCCACATTATGACTTGCCACTACACTTTTATGTGCTTTACCACATCATGGTTAAGGGAGATGAACCGGCGTGGCACCATAGGAATAATTTAGACCAACCTTTGGAAGCCGTTGGTGTTTTTATAGCAATTTAATGCATATTTAAAGTGAATATGGCAATCATGCTTTGTAAAGACGGCATTTCAGTCACATATCGCTTTTTTTTTTTTTGGAATGATAGGAACGTTTTCTTTCCTGTGGTTTGATTAGGATAAAATAGAAAAAAAATTGGGAACGGCTATTGTTTTCTTAAAAATATAATAATTTGCCCTCGCCGTTCCACTCGAGTATCTTTTGTACAGTTTAATTAGAAAAAATAATAATAATAACAATAATAATTATTATTATTTATCAAATAATAATAGTAATAAATAAAAATTAAATATTATGAGATCATTTATCTTTAATACAAAGAGGGCACAATTAATCTTAATCAATAAATATCAATTTGGATGGTTAAGAGTGTGTCACGGAGTTCAAGAAATTTATTGTTGGGCTTTTGGTGTTTTTATAACAATTTAATGCATATTTAAAGTGAATATGGCAATCATGCTTTGTAAAGACTGCATTTCAGTCACATATCGCTTCTTTTTTTTTTTGGAATGGTACGAATGTTTTCTTTCCTGTGGTTTGATTAGGATAAAATAGAATAACAAATCGGAACGGCTATTGTTTTCTTAAAAATATAATAATTTGCCCTCGTCGTTCCACTCGAGTATCTTTTGTACAGTTTGATTAGAAAAAATAATAATAATAACAATAATGATAATTATTATTTGTCAAATAATAATAATATTAAATAAAAATTAGATATTATGAGACCAGTTATCTTTAACACAAAGAGGTCACAATTAATCTTAATCAAGAAATATCAATTTGGATGGTTAAGAGTATGTCACGGAGTTCAAGAAATTTATTGTTGGGCTTTTGAGTTTAATCACAAGTACGCTTACAATCACCTCATTTGAAATTTGATAAACAAAAGTAGTTGCTTTTTCATAGTCATAATAATATTATAATAATAATAGAAATATGGTGTGGACTAGTGTTTTCTTAAAAAATTATGTCATGTAGAATATTATTACTTGCATTGAAAACTTGAATATTTTGATCCTAAGATTAGGTCAGTTCAACTTGGATTAAAAAAATATGAACAAGTACTAATAAAGTTCACGGTCCATGAGACAAGTACTATCTAACTCAACCATAGCCTTGGCCATCTCGAATGCTCTTTAGTGGATGGGCCCAATTACTTTGTCGGCAAACAAGGTTGTTGCTCAAGTGATGCAAATTAGGGTTCTTCTCCAATTAGCACCTTAATTCGTAAAAACTCGATAAAATGATTAGAGTAAAGTTTATATAGAGCTGAAGCTCTAAACAACCTGAACCTACCTCAAAACTTTCACTAGAAGAGATTGTTTTGATGCTCAAATATCTTCAAATTGGTCATCTCGATATCAAGATGCATAGACATGAGAAAAATATGGATTGCAAGTTTTGGAAATAGTGTAATCTGTAACGCATTTTTGGACCGTCAATTTTCAATATTTTCAATTTTTCATAGATGTGTTGATCTACACTATTTTTTAAGCTTTAAACTTCTAAATGAGTGAGAAAATATATTTTGAGGCTATCACAAGGATTTCCAATATTGGAACCACAATTCTCGACAGTATTTCAAAGTAGGCTCTAATTTGATTATTTAGAGCCTGGATTCTTTACAAATTGCACTCAAGTAATTATGCTTTAGGGAAAAGATGAGTAGAGAACTAAAAAAAGCTATGAGTTATCCACCTCCATATTTATTAATTCAAAGTTTTCCAACAAAAATAATAGTCTCTTCTAAAACCTTTCTATAATAAATATTTAAAAAAAATAAAAAACTTAAAAAATTCCTACGAAATCCTTGTCATTCATTCTATATAATCCTAGACTTTTACTAAAATAAAAAACACCAAAAGCATACTGTGTAGCTTACTAAATCCCAATAACCTTTAGTAGAAGATTACGAAAAGTAGGACTTAAAATCCCCAAAATATATCCATTAAATACCATATTTAAAATTTTGGCCCTATTTCTAGATCCCTAACCCCTAGGATTAACCTAAGATCGATTAAATACTTGAAATAGATCCAAGATTTCGACCCTGCAGGTCGGGTCCAGATCCAGTGGACCCACCCTAGACCCAACCCATTTATTTAAAATAGTATATAATATTTTTATATAGAAATTTATAAAACTTAATGTAATAATATATACATACTTTTTTAAAAAAACAAGGTTATATATAATATATAAATATAATATTTATTTTTCTTTTTTCCTTTGGAAATCTTCTTATTAGACTTTAAGTGAGAAAATTGTTGAATTATTGCCCTAGACTTCTTATTAGCCACATGTTTTTTTTCACCGTTAGTAGTTTTTTGGTAGACATGTCTTGGTAAGTTTTTATTTTATTTTTCACTTTTAGTAATTTTTTGGTAGACATGTCTAGGTAAGTTTTTATTTTTTTATGTATAATCCATCTGGTCCGAGTCTGGATACGGGTCATCCAAATAAATTACGGGTTTAGATATTTTGGACCCAGTCGTGTCTGGGTCTAAGTCCCATGTATGGATTTAGGTCGAAGTCTACTTGACCCAGTCCCACCCCTACTTACAATGCTTAAAATCAAACCATTAGGATCCTATTTACCAAGATCAGCCCTGTATCACCAAACTATAGTAGTCTTTAGCCCTCCCTCTAAAATACAAGTTCAAACTTCGGGCCCGTGTATAAGTTGAAAGGAAAATTATGGATATTATACTTTTATCGACATCCAACTCTTCAATATTTTTCATATCACACTCTTAACCCAAATTTTATTTTTGCTTTAAGCAACGTACTACATAAGTTGACGGAAACACAATGATACATGTACTAAAAAGGGTAACTTCGCCATAAAAATTATAACTTTTTGATTTGGGAGGTAAAATTAAAAAAAACACCAATAATTAAGTTGTGTGATATAAAAAAGTATTAAGGAAAGGTATCCATAATGTTCCTTGAGTTCTACTCCATGTGGGGTCCAAAATAGGCACCATAATCCAGTCAAGACAAACTGCCTACATCAAATGGGGTACGTGTCTCTGATGGTTACAAAGCATATTGCGTGACTATGTGCTGGATGTTCCAGATTGGTCCATACGGTTCGACACATGATATCTTGTCCATAAAGAGCCTACCCTACAGGTTACTGAAAGGAGGACCTTTTGGCTGACGAAATAGTGAGGTGTGCCCTTTAGAGAGACCTTTGAGACATGAGATTCATATACCCTTCAACCTTACCTACTAGGAATTTCTTTAACCCAACCACCCAAGAGCAGTTCCAACCAGTATTTCTTGAAAAAGGGAAGGACAAAGAACTCAAAGCAGTCTGATCCGGGTTCTGTGGGTCGCACTAACGGACCCGGCTTTGAGTAGGAATTTTATTTTTATTCTTTTAATCTATTTCTAAGGGTTGTTTTGTTTATTTTCATTTTCCTTTCATAAAGTGTTCTCTCGGCACACGTGATCAGTCGGCCTGTCTGGTGATCTACAAAGGGGTCAGTCTCTTCCTTGAGACCGACCTACATGCGAGTCATTATTTGAGAAGACCAATCTTTTACGATATTTTACATGTTCAGATTCATGGTGAAACTTAGAGGAGACCTGAAATGCCTTTGCCTCAAAATTACACTATAAACAACCTGCAGCAGTCTCCTTTAGTTGTAGTAACTCGTCATCGTGTTTTGAAGAGGGCTAAAAAGAGATATGCATTAAATCCATGTCCTACTTTTTGCCTTCTTTTTGTATTGGCTCTAATGGTATTGAGTGATAGTGAAAACACTTCTAGAAATGGGTCAAGAAATGAAGGTGTAGTAATTAATGCACAAATTTGAAACTTAACAATTTCTTCATCATGCGTAGGTTTATCATCGACGTTTCCTCCTGATAATCAAACAACTTTCTTGAAATTGGATTTTCGTGGATAGGAAATTGGAATTATGGGACATCAATTTTGATTACATGTTCGTTCTTCTTTTTCCAACAATCAAAGGGGTTGATCTTATGAACTCTTCCTTAACAGGGGCCACCCAAAGTTGGTTACGAATGAGATTAAAGTTACCTCATCCACCATCGTCATCTTGATTTGCAATGCTGGCTTGCGGATTCCTTACATGCCAAAGCCCACCAACTTCATCTGAGAGTTCATCTACTGCTTTTACCAAATCTTGAATAACTTGAGTTAACCATGAAATATCTTTGTGGGATGCCAGTTTTGAGACACCGTAAGCTACTTTGATACCATTTGATACAAAATAGGGTTTAATTCTTCTCAAATCAACACTTCAATTGGAAAAAACTAAGTCCTCTAAAACCCTTCAATGACATGTATTTTTATGCAAACTCAAAATCCTACAAAGTTCTTACAAAATCCTAGTTATTCATTCTATTTAATCCTAGCCATCCATTATTAGCTTAAAAATAGATGACCAAGTCTACCCCTAACAAAATCATAAATAAAAACTAAAAATAAAAAGCAAAAAAAACATATTTTACAACTTATTGAAACATAATAACCTATAATAAAATAGTACCAAAATAAGCCTTAAAATCCCCAAAATATATCCCTTAATCCCCTTAATTAAGATTCATAGAAAAACACAAATCTATCCATCCCATGACTGCATCATAAAAGAATATAGAGAAAAGAACGGAATCAATTAATGAAGAACATAGCACGGTTAGTTGTTCGAGGATATGTACAAGAGCTTGGAAATGATAATAAAAAAAGTTGCTCCTATTGCCATGATGATTACCATGCATACTCATTTACACTAGTATCAATTTCTGACTGTTGCTCAATGGTATATGGACATCTGAAATGCATTCCTTAATGGAAACTTCTTAGAAGTTTGCATTCCTCAGTCATCACAGTTTGTTACTCAAGATTCCTCTTTTGTTTGTGAACTTTGTGAAGCACTTTAATCTCAGAAGTATTTTTGAAGTGTTGTTCTTGCAACTGGCTTCAATCAAAGTAATTGGCATCTCATCAATTGGAAATATGAAGCAATATTTGCAAGAACAATTTCATATGAAGGACTTTGGGGAAGTTTTCGATTTCCTTGGCCTCGTGATTGATTGTTCTACATGTGCTATTTGTATCAGTCAACAAAGGTATGCACCTGATCTCATTTCAAGTTCAAGGTTGACCGATGTCAAAGTTGTTGACACTCCCATGAAATTAACTATCAAAGCTTCCACTCATGTTGGAGATCCCCTTTAGCTTGTTGGCTTCTTTATCTATCTCACAATAACATGCCCATATATTGCATATGTCATCTGGTGGCTCAGTTTCTCTCCTATCCTCTATGACCTAATATCTATATTTCTCGCTAGATCCGTCTTTGTGCTCGACGTACATCTAATTGTGGATTGTTAATTTCGTCCATGTCTTCTTTAGATCTTATTGCATATGTGAAAGCTAATTGTGTAGTTGATCCTTATTACAATGCTATATGCAATTGTATATCTCTTGGATCATTATTTATTTTGTGAAGGACTAAGAAATAAGTTGAGTAATGTGCTACATCCTTTGTTAGCACTAGGCTTGTTTTGGTCCGTCCCTTTTTTGTGAATTTGGTTACTCCATTTGCAATCCTATCTTTATATGCAAATCCATCGAGATTGCATCTAATAAAATCTCTTATGAGAAAACAAAGCATATTAATGTAAGTTGCCATTATGTTCGTGATTGCTGTCTTAATTGTAATTTCTCTCTCCCTTTTGTTTATGTTCGTGATTGCTGTCTTAATTGTAATTTCTCTCTCCCTTTTGTTTCTTTTACAATGTGGAAGGGTGATATTTCCACCGAATCAAATACTCAAAAGGCATAATATTTTATTGTGGACAAACTGAAGCTGCACTCACATTCACATCAGCTAGGACTTGGGCCCATTGAAGTTTACCATCATATGTATATTGTCTAATATTGTGCGTTGACTCGTAGTTTGTTCTACATACAGTATGTTTACTTTAGTTATACAACCAAAATACATATTATATGTAAAACCTATTAGGGTTTCATTTTTTGCTCTTTCGAGAATTGATGCAAAAGTTATTTTCCACATATTCTTTTCTTTCCTTATCTTTCTTTGTGCACATGAGTGGTCCGAGATCCAAGGCTTCTGCTCTCCCAGTGCATCCAAGCAAAAGCCTCTCCAGATTTATCTCCCTCTCAAATCTATTGAATGTGAAATGCATGGTTCTCCCCACTCTTGATTTGTTGGCACCCAAGAAATCAAACATTTTTCCCTACATCAATTGTTTGCATTCATATAATGACCTTCGCATCATCTAACTTATGGGAGATTGAGCTTCTTCTTTGGTTCTCTCAGGTATGAGTCTCTTGTAATTTTTCTTCCATTAATTAGTGGAAAAACATTTATCATCTTTGTCCGTGGATGCATTCATATATATGACCAACCACATATATTCCTGTGTTCTTTTTATGTTATTTCTTACTTGCTTTATTTTTCTTGCTTATTCCTAGTTCATTTTTTTTCGTATTTTATTTGTCAAAAATCAACCCATCAGATTTAGAGCTTCCACACACAACAAGAGAGAAAAATTATAAGAGACTAATGCCTGAGAGAACGAGAAAAGAAATCCAACCTCCCACGATGCCTTCTCTTTACAATTTTCTCTTTCCGTAAAACCCCAAAAGGTTCCCTTGTTTCTTTTTTTTTTCTTTTTAAAGAGAGAGAAAATTATAGAGAGGAGGCATTGTGGGAGATTGGATTGATTTTCTGTTTCTCTCATGTATGAGTCTCTTGTTTTTTCTTATTAATTAGTGAAAAAACATCGATTATATTCGTATGTGGATGTAGTCACATCTGTGACGAATCACATAAATTCAGGTGTTATTTTTCTATCATTTCTTTCCTGCTTTATCTTTCTTGCTTGTTTCCGGTTCTATTTTTCTCGTAAGTTATTTGCCTAAAATCAACCAATTGGGTTTAGAGCTTCCACGCACAACATTACCATAGAACTACGCATGAAACGTTTGTTACAACATAAAGTCTATGTTTAGTGGGATATCTTCACAATGCAATGAGGAGTATTCTTGCATTTTTGAAGTGAGGCTAACGATGAAAGGATGGGAACTTCTAAATTGTTGTATCCTTCCAAAGAGATAAAAGTTAAGCCTTTGGGTTGCAATGTTGAGAATACATGGCTATGGAGTTTATCCTCATGCCTAGAGATAATTTTGGACAAAAACCATTATCTCTATGAAATTGGCTGGTCAGATGCTCTCATGACCTTTATTAGATTCCTTGAGATTCAAATTATTATTTGATGGTACCATCTCTAAAAAGCAAATGAAGTATATTATCATGTACATATTGTCTAGATACACAATTTGTTTTTACTGTTGTGATGACATTAATAAAGGCTCGGTTTAGACATTCAACCAAAGCACATGTTGTACGTAAACGCTATTAGGATTTCTTTTTTTTTTCTGATGAAATTGTTGTCAAAAGATTAATTTTCTCTCATTTCTCTCTTATTTTATCTTTCTCTGTGCATAATAGTTGTTAGATATCCAAGGCTCCGCGCTCCAACATTATCCAAGCTTTGTCCTCTCCAAATTTATCATCCTTACTATCCAGTGAATGTGGAATTCAGGGTTCTTTACTTTGTTGAGTTTTGAGTTAAGAATGGATTGGCACCCAACATATCAACTTTCTTCTCTCAATGATTGCTGTGTGTTTTATATATTGATCTTTGCTTCCTTTAATTTGGCATAGACGTGTGAATGAAGGCTCTAGTGACAATACAATCTTAACTTCAATAAAGTCTCCTAACATCTCGTAACATGCAATGAGGAGCATTCATGCATTTTAGAAAGTGGCAAATCAATTAGTGAATGGATGAACTGCAGGAATTTTACCCACTTAAATCGATTCTAAATTATCTCACTAACATCATCTCCCGTTATAAGGTACTACAATTCTAAGAATACTTGGGGGCTCTATCTTTCCTCGCATCTTACTTCCTCACTGGTAACTGGTGGCTTTGAAAAGGTTATCCTTACCGATCCATCTTGTTGAATCACAATTTTTTTGGACAAAAGATCTTTCAGGGTGCACCTGATACTCAATTGAATACTTCTCCTTACTGAAGTTCGAGACTTAAATAATGTAATTTACTAAATTTCAATTTTTCTAATGTTAATTTTGTAGAAATTTCAGAAATTTAAATAGGTCTAATAGAGCAAGGGTTGATGGAAACTTTGAAATTCTTGTATCCTTCGAAAGACATGAAAGTTAAGCCCATTGGGATGCATTATGGAGAATTGATGGTTCTGGAGTTTGTACTTCTGATCGAAAATAATTTGGACAAAACAGAAGCAACCCAAACAAACTGTGATCTCAACGGAATCTGCCGGTGAGGTATGGCTCCGACCTTTCTTAGATTCCTTGAAATTCAATTTAGTCTTTGATGTTATAAATTTTTCAAATGAAAACTATAGGGAAATTCGATGAATCAAACTTCTTGAATCAAGGCTACTAACAAAAACCAAGACTATACATATATTAAAAAGCCTTTAAGCAACTATAAAGTTTGATACTAGGAACTTAAATGGTTAAAAAGAAAAGATTCCCAGGGAAATATCCAAAGATTAGGGAACTTCTCATGAAAGGATTCAAAGAACAAGATGCATTTACTTTGTTAAAATTCAACCACAGATGCTCAAAATCCTTGCATTGGTAACGATAATGGGGTTTTATGAAAGGAAGTGTGTTTGGCCACATGACTTCTTTAAGAAATCAGGACTTCTAAAGACCGGCACCATTACAAACATAGAGAATCGATCAGCATAAAAGGTTGTACTATAATTCTTACTGAGACCTTTTGTTTTCCAATTAAACATAAATTCCTGAGATCACAGGGAATCCCGGGTATTCTAGTTGTGGAGGCATGGTTCATAATCACAAGAAGCAATATAGTTTTACATACAAAAAAAAGGCTGCAACAGTGAAACAAACTCTTACTAAAGGAAGGGCAAAAGAATGAGATGGGTGCTCAAGTCAAGGCAATCAGGGTAAGCCACAAGTTTTATATGTTGTGGGAAAGCCCAGGGTACTTCTGATTTGCCATGTTTAGCTAATAAGAGAGACCCAGCATTGCTTTTACTTTTTGGCCCCCTTCATGGCTGCATATGGAATCACTAATATCTTTAGGTCCAAAAGAGCCCATCATTGCTTTATGTAATGGGGTGTCTACAACAATTTCGTTTTTTTCTTTTTTACTTTTTTTTCTTCTTTTGTTTTTTCCATCTTTATGTAACTATGTTAATAGAAATGAATCATGACATCAGGGCACACAATTTCAAATAGAGAAAATGAGCCGGAGACAATAAACAACAATTTAGGTAAAAAAAAAAAGATGGCCTAGAAATTCTCTCTGCCCAAATTAGGTTAAGTCACATTAAAATGAAAATTTCCAAATGCAGTCAATATGATCATATAAATTTCAACTTCTCAAATTATAATTAAGCGTAAATCTATCATGAGGAAAAATATCAAACATTCACTATAGCTATTCTTTCTTTTTTTCAATTACATCAAGTTTTTATAATGACTTCAATCTGACTATGTTTTCATGCAAAGTGCATTTCAGAAAATATCGTTAACCAAATAGGGAAACATTCTTCATTTGGATCACTTTAAACTTTGTTCGATGGATTTCAATAAATCTGAATGGTTTAGATACCTTTTAGCTTTTTTTAATAAACAACCAATTAACCTGAAACAACAATTTACAGCCATGGGTATTATGTTCTCTTTAATTCACAATTGGAAAGCTTTATTACACTGCTTGCCAACATATATTAAACGAAAATTGCAAAATGGAAAAAAGAAAAAGATGAAGTTGGAAACAGAAAGATATGCAATTTTAAGGATAACAAAACTCATAAAGTGAAATGTGCGACTTACTCCATTTTTATTGTTCACCCTTTCTTATCATAAACCGTTTGCCCACCCTTCCTTTCTTATAAACATATTAAAACAAATCAATGAAACACATTTTTAATTTTACAAGTTTTAGAAAGAAAATGGTCACATTATATTCGAAGTTACAGAACAAATCAATATAAAATTGAATATAGTATATTTAATCTACTAAAAAAGCAATTTTTCTTTCAGATAATTGCCACATGAGTAAAAGATAAAGAGAGTCGAATGTAAAATACATAGAATACAATGCAAAGGATATCCCAGAAACAATCTCATGCAGTTATATAATATTTTTTGGGGACATATTAAAAAAACATAAACAATAATTTGTTCTTGATCACACTGTAGAAACTTGCTCGAGTAAATGTAAAATATTCACACCATCAAACATGCCTATTTGTAGGTTCAACATACTAGCCTTCTCTCATACCGTATTTCCAAAAACCTGGATGTAAACGAATTAATACTAATGAACTCAAATTGAAGTCAGACTTATGCAAGAAATACACATAATTAAATCATAAAGCAATATGAATCTCTTTTCTTCACCAATGGACCTCCCTATTAAAGTCCACCCACAGATTTCTATATCTCTACCACGTTAGATGGAACATTACTACTATTAAACAACCAAAACCAAGAAAATAAATCAAGGATACATATTTTGAAGTAATGTTATTGTTATTCTCTCTCTGCATGTTTTCTCAACCTTCTCCATGCATATCCATTTCCAAACCTTCACACCTCTTGTTTGTCACTATCATTAAGAGAGCAGAATAAAGAGAGAAAATTACATAACCATCTTTCTAAATGGAGCACCTACACCAAATCATTCAGGATTTGTATCCTTTTTACAATTTTTCAAGGGGGGGAGGGGGACATAGGCCTTAGAGACATCCTGAATCCTATTTAATGAATTTAGTTTACCTGTCATATTGATTACTCACCTATCGATTTCTTTTCATGTTCGGGAATGCCATATATATTTAAAAAATCCTAAATTTCAATTCCATATAGGATCAATGCTAATATTCATTGTCATATTCATATGAATGAAGTGTTTTTCCTGTGCGCTAAAATAATGGAACCACTTTTCCGTAAGAAAATGAAAGTTGATGCTGTGAGTGTGTGTATGAGAGAGAGAGAGAAGAGATTTGGGAAGCCTCTTTTGTAAAGGAAGTAGATGTAATCTGCAGAGAGTCAAACGCCCAAATATAGTTTAGGTTTTAAAGGAGGCCATTAAATAATATTATCCTCAAGGGAGAGATGACTGTCTTGGAAGACCTTCATGGAAAGTGGGAAATTCCATAACAGCAAAGGTATGTAAAATGATTAGGGTTTAGTGTTCGCTTTAAGAGAAAATCTGAATTTAGAGAGCATAACATACATGCCTCTTAAAGTCAATATAAAACATTGAACTGAAGGGTACGTAGACATCACAATTACCAGATAACAAGATCAGTAGCATTGAG